TCACAGTTCAAGTCCCAAACCTGGCAGCTTGCTTTCTCACTTTCTCTCTCCCTCACTCTGTCCCTCTCTGGTCAAATTATAAATAAATAAATACATAAATAAATAAATAAATAAATAAATAAATAAATAAAGTTAAAAATACATATACATATAGTCTATAAGTACTGGTTTATAATAAAAATGCAAATACCTGCATCTCCTTGTAAGCCTCTCATTGCTTTAATTATTCAAATCTAATTTGTTGAATATTTGAGGGTGGGTGAGAAAACACTTTTTTTTTTGAAGTATTGGGTTCAGTTTTTAGTTGGGCTCAGATAAGACAAAAACATACCAACTGTACAGCCATGCAGTGTACCCACATTATATTTAGTACTGATATTATAAGATGAGAATATTCACTCTCTAAGTCAAAATTTAGAAGGAAATCTGTCCTGCAAATCACCTGACCCTGTCCCGTCTAAGCGTTTGAAAACTCTCCCAGGAACTATGGATGATGGCTGTCACGTGCTGAATGTGTCTCACCTGGCAGCTCCCATTCATGGTCATCTTACCTCGTCAGATTCTGGTTATTCTTCCACAGCACTTTGACTGTGATGATGATAAATATAGCAACATTGCTGATGAGGATAATGGTTACAGGTACGAGAAATGACCAAAAGAATGGACTTGTTATGAAACTGCCTTCTGGGATTGCCAGCCAGCAGCTGTGGAGAAAAACAGAAATCATTCAGCCGACCAAGAGAGGTGTCCATACTGGTTCCCTGTCCTACTTACATTATAGACATTCACATGAGAGCCCTGCTAAAAGTGACTCTCCCTTTGCATTTTATACATTCAAGATGACTTTCAAGAATTCAATGCATTAGGGGACCAGCAGTTAGCATAATGGCTATGTTGCTGGACTCCCATGTAGTCCATCGCGGTTTGAATCCCGGACCCGGCGGCTTAAATTCACGCTGGGCACGTGTGCGTGCATGCCCAGGATCCCGAGAGGAGAATGGAGAAGGGATTGCGGAGTGGCCATCCTCCCTGGGGGGTGATTTCTCACTTTCTGTCTCTCTGTCTCTCTCTGTCTTTCTGGCGAGCGCACGTGCCATAAAAAAAAAAAAAAAAAAAAAAAAAACCTTTCCGAAAAAAGGAATTCAATGCACTAGAAAAGTGACATGAGTTGGTCCTGCCATATTTCTTGATGAGTCAATATAGCCTAAGAGAAAGAAAACAGACTTTGAATCAAGCAATCCTGAATTTAAACGTCACTCCCTCTCAGTTATGAGGCATTTAACATTAGGCATGTTGTTTTTATTTTATTTTGAATATGTAGCACACCCAGATGGTTCAAAATCAAAAGATACAAATGGTCATAGAGGAACAAAGTTTGCTCAGAAATCTGTCTCCAGTCACCAGTTCCAATCAATGTTTCTCGTGTATCCTTCCCGATTTAGGTTATGCACACACTCACAAAGGCATACTTCTTGATTTTTAGACAAATGGGAATATATGATATGTACATCTAAACCTTGCTTAATGACGTATCTTGGAGATAATTCCACATCAGAGTATAAAAAATGTCCTCATTGGGTCTGGCATGGTGGCTAAGGGTGCTGGACTCCCACATGGCAGACTGCAGTTCGAGTCCCAGACCTGGCGGCTTGCTTTCTCACTTTTCTTCCCTCTCTCTCTTATTCTGTCCCTCTCTAGAAAAACCAATCAATAAATAAAGTTAAATAAGATCATTCTTTTAAAAAGAAAAGTCCTCATTACTTTTAACAGCTGCATATTATTCTTCTATCTTGATATATCTTAACTTATTTAAATGGTCTCCTATGAATGGACATTTTGAACGGTTAATGTTTAGAAAGGGTTTGAGAAAGTTATTTAACCTCCTTGTACCTTTCTAAAAATTTTTTGGTAATGGTAGTTGTGGAATTTATTTTTTTTTAATCTAAAATGAGAATAATATTGGGTCATCAGGAAAGCCATGACATATTTTTGCATAGAAAAATACATCATGACATTCCCAATGACCTAAGTAACCATGTCCTGGCATTGTTGAAAGAATGAACTTTTTAAATTTAATAAGTATTTTCAAAGTACATGCTATATGCCAGATACTGTTCTAGACACCAAGGCATTAGCAGTGAACAAAACAAAAATTCTTTCATTGTGTATTCATGTGCCAGTGCGAGAACAAACAAATATATAATATGTCAGCCATGATAGTTCTATGGTTAAACAATGAAACAGATAGCAAGAGTAGACATTATTGTGTACATGTGTGGAGAGGAAGGAGTATTTCATTTCAAAGACAGTGATCAGGAAAAGCCTTGTGGGAAGAAATGGTGTTTGAGCAAAGACCTTAAGAGGGGAAGGGTTTCCACACCGAGGTACCATTAAGGCCCTGAGGAGAGGGTTTAAGAAACATCAAAGAGACTGGTACAGCTGAACCAAAGTCAGTGCATGGGGTTTATGGAAAGACCCAGATAATGGAATGGATGTGTAGGTGACCATTGTAGTCTAGGCAAGATGCAGAGATGGCACACGATCTGTCTGAAGTGTAAAAGCATTACTGCAGGTGCAGTGATGAGAGAAGGGCGGAGCCAAAGTAGGGAGCCAGTTAGGAATCTACCGCAATAATCCAAAGGCTTGGACAGGAGAGATGTTAAGAAATAATTTATTTCAGATATATTTAAAACAAAAATAGAGTAAAACAAAAGGATTTATTGTACAAGATAGATGTGGGATGTAGAATCTTTGACCTGAGCACCCAGAAGGATAGAATTACCATTAAGTCAGATAGGAAAGAAGATGAGAGTAGTAAGTTTGTGAAGGAAGCATAGAGGTGTCTATAGACAACCAAACAGGAGTGTCAGAGAGGCAGTTGGGTATTGGCAAAGTAATGTAAGGAGCCCTGGCATCCAATTAAGTATTTGGCATTCAATTAATGTTTGTTTTCTTATTCCCTGGAGGTAAGAAACCCCTTATTATATATGCCAAAGGATTTCCAAATTGCTTTGCATTGGAATGTTATTATTTAAATTATTAGAAATCATATTTCTAATATGAATGACCTAGGAGGAAACTGAAATAATGTTCAAGTCACTGTAATTAATTTTCTTAAATGAATGAAAAAGGGCCCAGACTTGTGGCACAGTCAATAGCATACTGACCTGCAGTGCCTAAAGCCACATGGCTGATCATGGCTTCAGAACCCTGGGTCGACTTGAAACATGCTGAGCATGCACACGGGCACCCACGATCCTGATGAGTGAGGACTGGAAAGGAGATTGTGCTGTTACACAACCCCTTTTTCTCTTTCGTACACACACACACAAGTGTTCATGTGCTGGTCTGATAACCTCAGTGGTTAAGGGAGCTGGATCCCACATGGATGACCATGGTTCAAAGCCCACTCCTCCTCCCCTCAGGGGAAACTGTGCTGGGTGCATGTGCACGTGTGCCCCAAATCCTGACAGGATGGAGAAATGGAGGAGAAGGGATTGCAGTGGGACTATACTCCAGTGGGACTATACTCCATTGGTGGGGGAATGTGCTCTCTCTCTCTCTCTCTCTCCCTCTCTCTCTCTGTCTCTGGTGAGCACTTGTACTCTCTAGCAATTGAAAGAAAAAGAGAGAAAGATAGAGAAAGAAGAAAGAGAGAAAGAAAGAAAAAGAAAGAAAGAAGAAAGGAGAGAGGAAGAAAGAAAAGAAGAGAAAGAAAAAAAAAAGTCATGTCAATCTTTAATAGGTGGAATATATCCAGCCCTAAATAAGATGGTGATAGTGAGCAGTTCGTCTACAAAACTTCCAGCCTCCCTTCCCTTTCATCTGCAACCGAATGACAATCCTCCCGACACCCCCTACTTCCCAACCTCATACACAAAAGAAATAGGACACTCATCTAAGAAATAATGAAATCCTTCTGAGAAGAACTTTCAAATTGCTGGAAGCCTCTTTGGTGACTAAACAAGTGGCCGTCAAAAATTTTCAGTGAAATCAATAGACCCACTTCTTAACCAGGCAGCCTTGAGAAATAGTTTAAAAGAGGAGGAAAAGGCTAGAGAAAGAAAGCAAACTATCTCATTCTGTTAGATAAGGCAGACTTGCAAACTATGAAATAATTGCACAAATGCTTATCTGTATGAGTCTTGAACTATTTAAGCTTTAGAAAAGCGAATTTCTGAGAATTGCTATTTGTACTACAGATGCATGTGACTTTTTGTGTGTATGTGTATACATAGCTACAAATGTCTGTAAAACTGCTCCGTTTCTTCATACTGGAGGGAGACCTGGAAGGTAAATATGCTTGAGTGCCTGTGTCATCTGTAGTTGTGTACTTGGGGGTGGGGGGGGTCGTCCCCTCTCTCCTTTGCACTGTTTGGAGCAGGAGATAGTTATGCTGAATTTGCTCTCTCTACAACCCCTCCCTTTGTTATTCTGAATTGAATAACTCAGATCTTTGATAAATATTGAGAAAAGGAATGGATCCTACAGGGCGACTAACCCATGCAGTCATGGAGGGAAATTTCTAGAAATGAGATTGGAGAGACACACAACGGAGATTGATTTGACAAATAGCTGTGGACCTGAGCTTGGGTGTCCTAATGACCTTAGATGAAATGTTAAAGCGTTTGTAATTTTGCAATGGAGCATGGGAAAAAAACAGCTTCAGCCCATACAGCACACACTTGAAATGTTGCCCCTCAGTGTGTTACAATTTCTCATGATTACCTCAACTCTACAGGAAAGTCTGAAACAGCTTATATGGTGGTGGTAAAGGAAATCAGGGGCAGAGTGTTGAAAAGAAGCCCTGAAGAGAGATGATGGTACATCAGAGCACTGGGCCAGGGGTTTTGGGTGTGACTGACAGGACTGGGAGCAGTGACGCAGGTTAGGGAAGCATGGGATATCGAGGAGCAACTGTTGGGAGGATAACTCAGGAAGACCAAAAATAATCCCTCTTATTTCTCAATAGGTCCTGAAGAAATGTGACCCTCAATGACATATGTGTAGGGTAGAAAGGTAAGTGGCAGGCGCTCAAGATGAGGCAGCACCCATGTCACACATCCTTCCCTGTCACCCCAACTTTTCTTCTTAGCTGCCAGGAATTGTCTCCTCCTCCTCCAGCAACTAACACTGTACTCAGGAAAGGATCTGCTCTTAATTATTTGTAGCTCAGTGTCAATACATTTAAGTTAGTAGGCTTCTTTCTCCTGAATGCTTCTTAAGGAGTGGGTCAAACCCTGTGCCTGGGTTAGAAAAAGAAGTTAAGGATGCACTCTGAAATAAATTATTTCCTTCATGAGATACTAACATCTTATTTCTTATCTCCAATTATGTAATTAAAATTTTAAAACTCAAAAATATGTAACCATAATTAAATAGAGAAAATAGTTTCTAGGAGTATGAAATCAAGCCAGGAAGTCAAAGCCCTACATCCCAAATTAGGGGGTGGTCAGCCCTAAGGAAGAGGTAAGTCCCCTGACCCCACAACCATCCCTTGGATGTTCTCAGACATTTCCAGAAGTTAAGCTTTTATTTGAGTCCAATTGGGACTTAAGTTGAATCTCAGGATAAGGCTGGATTTGTAAAATGAGAAGGGAGGATCAATAAAGATGCAGTTCCTATCTGGTGGCAGAAATAACTGTCAAGAGTTGAGCTCAGCTTTCTTCTCTCCCTGCCCATATGAAGAGGAAACGCCACACAGTCAGGTACTTCTGTTATTAACATTCACACAGAAGTCACAGGAAGAACTTTTTGTGTGTGAGAAATCATCCAAGTATTTATTATAATCATGTCAGCATAGAATTGGTTCATATAAGCAAGACATATGGATAGTGCTCTTTAAGTTAGTAAATGTCTTCAAATGTGCTTGATAACTCACAATAACCCTAGAGCAGGTATTACTATTATTGCTACATTCCCATTTTCTAGATGAGAAAACTAAGATACAGGGTTACTAAGGGTCATTACTATTGTGCTATGTGATTTTCACATGTGTTGAAGAGAATCTTAAGAAAATTCAGACTTATAATTTTAGAAGGTAATTACTTGATTTACAGAAAGATTTGTTAGGGATGGCAGTTTGCATGGTAGTTGAGGTGCTGGAATTCCCACATGGCTGACCACAGTTTGAGTCCCAGACCTGGCAGCTTGCTCTCTCTCTCTCTCTGTCTTTCTCTGGCAAACATGCATGTGAAATAATAATAATAAATTAAATAATTCTTTAAAAATAGATTTGTCATAGAGAATTTCCATCTCACCACATTTAAAATATAATGTGTTCTTTGAGAATTGAACTACCCACTGCTAAATAAGACAATTACAATCTGAGATGCATATGTACAGTAACGCTTGGAACAAACATCACTGAAGAGTTACACTCTTCTGTCAAAGAAATAGACATTTAAAAAATATAAACTCACATTTCCTCTTGCCGGTAGCGTAACTCCCATGATGGAGAATTCCTGTTTTGAGAATAAATAATTCCCACTGTCATAGACACTATTAGAGCTGGGACTCCTGTAGGATTGAGAAAGGCACAGGATTAATCATTTTCCAAGACTGGGATTAATTATAAAAGACCATGAATTAAATATACATCTGATCCTTCAAGTCTTGTTCTCCCCTTGTAGATAATATATTAAATGATCCTGTAGATGTAGGTAACTGTGGACATAACTTCTTTTTTTTTTTTTTTGGAGAGGTTTTTGCTATAGGGCGCGTGCGCTCGCCAGACAGACAGAGACATAGAGGACATAGAGACAGAAAGCGAGAAATCACCCCCCAGGGGGGATGGTCACACTGCAATCCCTTCTCCTCCATTCTCCTCTCGGAATCTTGGGCACACACGCACACGCGCCCGGCATGAGATTTAAGCCACCAGGTCCGAGACGCGAACCGCGGTCGACTACGTGGGAGTCCAGCGACATAGCCATTACGCTAACTGCTGGTTCCCTGGGCATAACTTCTTAAAGTACTTTCCTTTCTCTCTTTTTTATTGGCTCTATGTATTAGTCAGATTTCTAAATTCTTTGTCACCCTCACCACAATTTTCACTCTTCAAAGGCTTAGTTTCTCTTTTACTAACATAAATATAATTTTAGATATTACCGAAGCAATTCTTCCCAATAAGGTTTTCAGATCAATTCTTCCTTATTCTTCTCAATTAGGTTTTCCTAAAGAGTCACTCTGATTATCTTTCTTGAAACCTTTCTTTTAAAATAGTTAGGAAGTTAATTATTTGTGGTCTAAATCTCAAATCATATTGATAAAAAGAGATGTTATAGGAAATTCATATACCTTAGGTTGGCTAATGGCATACCTGGTATTCCTGCCTTGACTACATGTCTCCCTCACTGGAAAATAAGATATTAGAGAATGATTTCTGTATTTTTTTTAATCTCCTTTACCTCAAAGCCTTGGATCACTGTATTTGTTTAAATTAAACAATGTCACCACAATTAGATTTCTGAGTAAGTGATGTACAAACACTTACCCCATCCAATTAATGATATGAACAGAATAAAATGTGGAGGAAGAGGCTTCATGGTCCGAATTAGAAGGAAATAGAGCTGTGTAGCACTGAGTCCATTCCAGGTAAATGTCACTAACAAAAAATAGTGGAGGAAGGCAGCCGTCACAGTGCACGAGTGATTCGGGATATGCACAGTGTCCTCGGGGGGTATCGTATTATTATCAGGGTCTGCGTTCATGCTGTCATTGGTATTCAAGTTCTTGTTGGAGTTTTCGATTCCAAACACAAAGAGGAGATTGAAAATCAACATTGATGTGCACAGACTGACCAATACCCAGGTTACTGAGGTTTTTCGGACTTTCCTGAAAAGAAAGAAGTACATATATAAATAACTAAGTGAAAATAACTGCAAAAAATAAACTCGTGCAATCTAGAGGAAGCAAGGAAAATGATTACCTCGAATTCACCCAGCATAGGCCAGTGGCCAGCTGATACATCTACCTTCCACGGTAAGTCAAAAAGCACACTCTCCTCTTACCTCATCGGCACAAAGTAATGAGTTAGAGGAAGCAGGTTGGCGCATCCCTTTTGTTTAGTTGTGGTACTCAAAAGTGATCGCAAACTCCATTAGCACAGACTGATAGATACAACCATGTTTAAATGTAGGGGAAAATTCTGTTGATTTTTCAAACCTAATTCACTCTAAAAATTCACTTACAAATTTTAAAACAATTAAACCAAATATATCTTAAAATAATTTTAAATAACTTAATAAAATGCATGTAAAACAACATTATTTAATATTTAGCTTATACTGCATTTAAAGAATGAGGCGTATATAAGATTTTAAATTAAGTAAAATATTTTTAATTTGTCTCATGGTCTATTGCTACTGATGCTGTTCTTTATTATTTGAGTAGACTAATGATTACTATCTCTTTGAATGGCTTATATACCACAAAATTTTACATGCATTTTTTTCTGCAAGATTTCTTAGACCATGCTTCACATCGTGTTTCTCCCAAGGACTAAGCTTTCAAGAACTGCACTTTGAGAAATGCCTACTGGTATCAAATGATCAAGGTGTTCTGAGTGGTCTTTTTTTAATGCAAAGCACATTTGAGGACTGTTCCTTCATTTAAAGACTATTTTGCTGTTTGTATATACCACATTTTCTTTATCCACTCCTCTTTGGATGGACACAGGTTGATTCCGTGTCTTGGCTATTGTGAATCGGGCCGCATTAAACACAAAAGGGCAGATACCGCACTGACCTACCGTGTTCCTTTCCTCTGGACATACACTCAGTAGTGGGATTGCTGGGTCATAGTGTAGCTCTAGTTTTAGCTTTCTGAGAAACCTCCATACTGTTTTCATAATAGCTGCGCTAGTTTGCATTCCCACCAACGGTGTTTAAGAGTTCCCCTTTTTCCTCATCTTCACCAAATTGAAGATGTCATTTCTTGGTGTAGAATCAAGTGTTTTTAAAAACTGCTCTTTCTTTTCTTCTCATACTTACCGAGTGTCTTTGCTCTAAAAGAAAAGCCTTCCTCTGATTCTGTCTGCGGGCTGACTTCGTGTACCAGTAATCTTCAGAACAAATGTGTGCTGTGTGGTGTCAGGGAGGGGACTGGGGAGTATGTGATGTGCTCTGCGTGTGTGTGTGTGTGTGTGCAGGATGTGTGGTGTGTAGGTGGTGCATGTACAGATGCTCCATACGTACAATGGGACTATATCCTGACAAGCTCTTCAGAAGCTGAAAATGTTGTAAGTCAAAAATACATTTAACGCTGATAACACAGAGGTACATGCTCTGTGTTGGCCCAAGTGTGTATATTCAGATTAACAGAGAACATAAGACTTTCCTTAATAAAAGTGATCTCAAAAGTGAGGAATGGGAGCCAGCAGTTTCCATGGTGGTTTAGGCACTGGACTCTCACATGACTGACGGCAGTTTGAGTCCCGGATCTGGCAACTTGCTCTCTTATTTTCTCACTCTCTCCCTCCAGTGAACACATGTGCCCTAGAACCAATTTAAAATAGTAATGATAATAATAAATCAAATTAAATAAATAATTATTTTAAAACATTAAAAAAAATGTGTTCTAAAATCCTCCAGTACCTCACTATTCTCTCTTTTTTTTTTTTTTTTTTTTTTTTTTGGGGGGCTTTT